CTAAACGTGGAAATGAATTTAGAATGATGCTACTGTCATCATGTCCTCTCTGTGAAACAGTTTTAGAACAAAAATAGTGTTACCCAGATTTTTCCTTATGTAGTTCTGAATTTCTTTTGAAATATTTAAACTTGAATTTATCCTTGAAATAAGATGATCTGCATTGTCGTTACTTTCTCATCACTGAGACAAAATATCCAACATACAAAAATTAAAGAAGAGTTTTGCTTTAGCTGATGGTTTTAGGGGGGTTCAATCTACAGTCAGCTGGCTCCAAGACAGAAGGGTATACTAGAAGTATCAGACAGAGGAAAAACTGCTTGCACCATGGTGCCTAGTAACCGGGGTATAAAGAGAGGAGCTGTGAATGGAGATACACATTTCAGAGTCATACCCGTAGTGGGCTGCCTCTTGTGATCAGACCCCCATCTCCTAATAGCACATTTGACTCTGGGTATAGTATCTATTATCCATCCAATCACCTTCAGATAGTCCCACCTCTGAATACATGAGACTTTTAAGGGGCATGCTAGATGCAAATTATAACATTTCATGGTAGGCCTCCACAAGACTTGTGTTTGTATCTTTTTTTTTTTTCTTTTTTTTTTTTTTTTTTTTTTGTCTTTTTTCCTTTTTATCGGTACCAGGGATCGAACTCACGACTGCCTGCTTTGCAAGGCAGGCGCTTATGCCGCTGAGCTAAATCCCCAGCCCTTATGTTTGTATCTTTATGCAAAATGCATTTAGTCTGTCTCTAAGAGTTGCTCTAAGAGTTCTAGCACTGCTGAAATTTTCAAGTCTGGAGTCATCTGTGATACTCAAGGCAAACTATGAGCCCCTAGAAAAATCAGAAAAAAATTACACAGTTCTAACATACAGTAGCACACAGTAAATATTCCCATTCCAGAAGGGAGAGATACAAAGATAGAAGGAATCACAACAAAGCAAAACCAAAACCAGCAGAGTAAATAGTAAATCTTGTAATTTCATGTCCAGCATCCAGGGCACATTATGGTAAGATTCAAACTCTAAGGGCTTAGGAAACCATCCATTATGAGCAATGTAACTGAATCTCCAGGAATCAATTCCATAGGTAGCTCTTCTTGAGGAAAGTGCCCTGGAATTCTCAAAGTAAAGTTTTTATTTTTGCCTCTTGAACCTGTGAGGCTAAGATCTTGCTGATTCCTCACATAGCTTCAAGGTATCTTTCTGTTTTCCTGTTATCCTGTTATGAAATACTTGGCTTATTTTTAACGCTAATCTTTTTCAATGAATGTGCCCTCCTTTGCCAAACTTGGTAGGAGTTTTCTTTCTGGGGATACTTCAGACTTTTCAAATAAGTTATTTTGGCTCCTTGTTTTCACTGTGAGTCTTTCCAAAGGTAGCCGGAGTACCCAGGCCACAGCCTGAACATTGAGCTGCCATGAAATTTTCTTCGCCAGATTAATCTGCCACTCTTAATCTCAATCTCCCACAATATCTCAGGTCATGGGAAAAATGTAAACAAATTTTATGCCAGAATATAGCACACACAGCCTCCAGTCCAGCTGTCAATGAGGTGCTTGTTCCCAACTGAAAAAACCTTCTGAGTCTGACCTTTACTATGCACATTTCTATTAGCATTCTGGTTTTTTGAACTTTGATAAGAATTTCCCATCAGGCTTGCCTTAAAGCACTCCAGGACTTAGCCAGCATATTCAAATCTTTCAGATCTTCTGCAGACTAGTTACAAAAGCTTCTGAACAACATGGTCAGGTATGGACACGTACCATCTCTATATTTGGTATCAGTATTTGTCTAGCCACTTTCTTTTCACTGTATCACCAACCTCACTCCCCAAGTTTAAATGGAGGAGTTTATTTTAGCTCATGGGTTTTAGAAGATTCAGTCCATAGTCCCCTGGCTCCAAGGAAGGGCTTGGTGAAAGTGCCTGCTCACATTATAGTGGTCAGGAAGCCGCAAAGAGAGTAACCAGGGAAAAGATACACCCTTCCAGGTCCTGTGCCCAGTGCTTCATCTTTTCCAGTTAGGCCCTGCCTTCTAGGAACACTTGTAGGTATGAATTCATCATTGAATTAATCCTCGCATGAGTATAGAGCCACCGTGACCTAGTCATCTTCCAAAACCCTTACTTGTGAACACATGAGACATTCTGCATCCAAACTGTAAAGTTATAATCATTAAGCGTGGCTAAAATGCATAGCATAAGCTTAAAATGCATCACAAAACATTCAGAATGTATCCTTTTGCAGTTTTGCTGGAGAAAGCCTATATCCATAGACTAATGTTTTCTTCAAAAATTGCTTTTTTTTAAAAATGTTGAATTTCTTTTATGTATCTTTCCACATACACGTACTTTCCATCTTTGATCTTTGCTCTGTTGCTTCATCTCTTTTCATATTTTTCCTTTCCTTTTTGTAAAGAGAAACCAATAGGGCTACAGTGGTTCTAACAGAATATCTGTACTTAGTAGGCACACAAATGCAGTATGTTTCACAGTAGAATTAAAGTTACTAAAGAGTTAGTACTGTCAAATACAGAACACTTTGAAATATTTATAAATAACCTTCTCAGTGGACAAAAGAATGCCATACTTAATTGATGATGAAATCAATAAGCCTCCTAGGGATTTTCCAGTGGGTAGCCAAATGTGTATGAAATAAAATTCAATTATAGAAGCATATCAAAGACCTATAGACACTAAAGGAAGAAAAATTTTCATTTTCTTTGTAGAAATGGCTTTTGAGCTGATTCTGAAATAATGACTTGGATTTCAATATTAAATAAAAAAATGATGTAGCTAAACTGAGGAGAAAGCATGGAGAAAAGTATCAGATGTGATGTAATAAATGACTGTAGTAGAATGTAAAAATCTATAGGTCACTTAGAATTGGATTCTGGGGCTGCAGAACCCTACAAGGGAAAGGGGACCATTGTTTTCAGTGTTTAGCATGTAGTAATAAGACTCCAGTAAATATTTCTGTGGACACAGGTTTGGATGAGTGAATGATGAGTAGGTACATAGAGTTTTCTGAACAGAAGGAACTTAGTTTACAACCATGCGTTTGGGCTGGAGATACAGTTCACTGGCATAAGTGCCTGCCTGGCAAGCACAAGGTCCTGAGTTCAATTCCTGGTACCAAAAATAAAAGTAAAAATAAAAATACAACCCTACTTTTGAAATAAACCACTTAAGGTGAGTAACTGCCTGACTCCACTGAGGCTGTTCTTAAGAAAATTACAATTTTAATGAATTAAATGTGAATAGCTACTGTTTTCTCCCTCCTACTTCATGTGCTTCTATGTTTACCTTTATCTTTCTTGAACATACAATGTCTGGATAATCCAGTCATGCTTTGCTATATTTCTATGTAACTCATCTGTAAGTATTGGAGGAAACTCAGAAATAAGGCAGTAAGTCCTTGACTTACAAATGAGTTTGATTCCACCAGAATACTCAAAAGTCAAACTTGTTCGTATCTCATAAAATGAGTCTTACAGTACAACCATGAAAGATTACAGCTTCAGTCAGGGATTTAATGGACCCTAAGAACCAGTGGACATCTGGGCATCCACAGAACTAGTCTTGAAAAGCTACCAAGTAGGCTAAGTTTGGAGGCAGATTATTAAGTTTTGAAATTCTCTTTCTAATGAGTGAAAGTAATTTCTTACTTAAAAATTTGATAGAATACTATACTGTGTTATTTGTATAATTTTTAATTTATCATGCTGTGTGACTGTTTCCTAAGCATATATTATATAATTATCTGATAATATATTGTTTACTCATTTAGAAGTAGAAAGAGGCTTTGTTCTTTAGTCTGTCCCATTGTTTCCTAGCTTAGACTGTCTGCTACTAACATGGATATTAGAAATAGCCTAACTGCCTTTTCTGGATCTAATTCTTCTGCTGCCCAGTTTTCCATAAATAACTTCTGCTAAATTAATCTTCAGAACTACTTCTTTGATTTTGTTTCTCAGAAAGCTTCTGTGACTCCCATCATTCAAGGTTTATCAGTTCAATACAATAACTATAACTGACTGAACATATATATATAACAAGCTTATTGAAGTTGGTACTTTCTGATCCCACTAGTTGCCTATCATTCCAATTTCTCCAAGACCAGAACCTATTCAGTTTTTTTAAGCACGTTTCTTATTATTATATCCATCATGACATTAAGTCCATTTCTCTTCTCCTTAGTCTTTTCTTAACAAAATTAAAATATTTTTTTCATTACAGTGCATTATTAGTAAGTCTCTTTTGGTACTTTCTACCTTATAGTTACATTTATCCATTCTCTCTTCCTATTCTGTGGTAAGTCTTTTGATCATATATGTCTCCATCATAGCATCTAGACTGTTTCCTGTTTTATTCAATTTATATAGTGCTTGAGTCAATAATCTTTATATTTAGGGTTTTGAATGAAAAAACTAGTTATATTTACTGATTTAGTTTTATGTTGCTAAACATTGAAGGTTGAATATCATTAAGTTATTTTTTAAATAGCCTTTACCTAAGCTGGATATGGTGGTACCCTCCCAGCACTCTAGAAGGCAAACACAGGAGAATGGCAAGTTCAAGCTCAGCTTGGGCAATTTAATAAGACCCTCTCTCAAAATAAAAAGTGCTTGAGATGTAGTTTAGTGTGAAGGCCCTGGGTTCAATCCCTACAACAGCAAAATAAATAAATAAATGTAATAAAATAGCCTTATATTGCATGATAAATGGTATAAGATCATAGCTGGGCATGGTAATGCACATCTATAATCCCAGCACTCAGGAGGCTGAGGCAGAAAGATCACTGTGAGTTTAGTTCAAGGCCAACCTGAACTACATAATGAGACCCTGTCTCAAAGAAAACAACAAAAAAGGTCATTATTAAGAAAATATCTTGGCTATACACAGTATAGGAGGAGACTTTTATTGAGAGATGAATTATTTGTGATTTTTTTCAGAAATTACTGAAGTTTTAAGTAATGACCTTTTTCTTTTTTAGTGCATTTGCACAGTATAACTTGGATCAGTTTACTCCGGTAAAAATTGAAGGTTATGAAGATCAGGTATGTTTCATATAAACATAGAATGTGAATATTCTTCATTTCTTTTATTACAATCTTATTTTCTTTTGTTATCAGGGATCAAACTCATGACCTCTTGCTTGCCAGGCAGGTACTTATGCCGCTGAGCTAAATCCCGGCCTCTTTGTTTCTTTTAATGATTTTAATTATGCAAGAATTTTGAAGTGCTATGCTTAAAGATTAAAAAATTACTTTTTAATCTTAGCCACTTACTGGCAAAGTAATTGAAAACTTTCTGTTGAGACTGTTAATACTATTAACAGAAAATTCCTTTTAGACAGACATACTCATGTAATTCTTTGAAGAGTTTAGAAAATAATTGCTTTAAATCTACTTTCTTGTTTTTTATAGGAAAAAATATCAATGCTAGACTAACCCAAAGTGTAGAATATGTATTGGTAAGATTTATATCATAATTTGGTTGCTCTGGAATTCTACAGTTTTTCATGTAATTTAGCATTTAGTAATTATTAAATCTTTTCTTTCCAGAATGCAGTTAAAATTGCTAAGCTTAGAAAAGCCACAGCAGGTCACTAGCTTTTTTACTTTAGAGTTACTAATAATTGAATGGTGATTATGGTCATGTATATCATACTTACATGAAGTACAGTTTATAGAAAATTATCAGAAGAGAACTGGTATGGAAAACATAAGAGAAGATGATTAAGAAGGAATACAAAAGAAAATTCTTAGTGACTAATTATACCAAAGCTTGTATTTGAAGTTATTCATTGTATATAATTTGTAGTCTTGTAGTTACAGGGGAGAGGACTAAACAAAAGATGACTTGAGCTGAGGATTTAGCTCAGCGGCATAAGCACCTGCCTGGCAAGTGCGAGGTTGTGAGTTTGATCCCCAATACCACACACACACACAAAAAAGATGACTTGTAACTGAAGGGGAAACTTAATTTATGCATGTGTATGTGTATACATATAAAACCATAGTGTTTCATTGTTTTAATCTTCTAAATTCATTTTATTTCTTTGGTGATTTTTTTTAATTTTTAAAAATGTTTTGCTTTTGGGGGCAGGGTTTTGGCTAAACAGTGGTATATTAAATTTCTTTCTACTTCTGCATGTATTCACAGTTGTTTTCTTGGGACAGATCCCTAAAACAAAAATTTGCTGGGTAAGAGAAGGCATCTTAAAATATTGAATAGCTTTCAAAGTCTTTTTACAACCTAGCAAAATTTTAATTCTTAAACATAAAAGGATAAAATTGAAAATGTAAATAGCATAGTAATTTCACATATGACTCTAGATTTTTAAAACTGTAGGATATTAACAAGTAGGATCCAGAAATATAGCAAAAGAATAACCAAGATTGAGTAGAAGTTTTTATAGAAACACAAGAGTCACTACATGTAAAGGCAATATCTTGGTCTTACATTTTAATTAACAAATCAGAGAGAAAAACTAATATGAGTAAACGGTGAAAAGGGATTTCGAAAAGCCCAGCAACCATTTATCATTAAAAACAAAAACTCTTTAAAAGTATAGACAGAAATCTGCTATATACATGTATAAAACCAATAGTGTTATCAACTGCAGCTCTAAAACATTTTATTTAAAATTTAAAAATTAGGTATGCCTGCTTATTTTGTTATTAATTATAAATGTAGTTGTAGCAAAAAACACAAGAGAATGACATGAAAACTTAATGCTTAGACTACATGCCTCTTTGGTGATATAGTTTAAATGGGTAGTAATACTGAAAAACTGTATTGATGTAACCCCCAATTCAAAAGCTACTAGACTTAAAAGAATTTGGTGAAAGTGCTTCATTTAAGGAAAGTACTATGTATTACACTTATTAGCTATCCTCTGTTGCAGCAAGTAAAAGCCTAAAAGTAGAAATAAGGGATGTCAGGGTATAGCAGGGAATTTCACTTAAAGTAATAGTAAAAAATATACATTAATTTAGGAACAAATTTATCCAGAAATAGGATCATGAAGAAAATTAATATCATTAAACATATAAAACAAGATCTGAATAATGGAGAGATCATTGCATCCCATTCTTAGAAACATAAATTATTTTAAAATTAAGTATATTTGTTATTACTTGAATTTGAATCCTGATCAGTTTTTTAAGTTGGTTACTATTGTGATAAAACTTAATGTGAAAAGAACACATGTTTGAAATAGCTAGAAAAATCCTAAAGAAAACAGTGCAGGAGAATTGCCTTATTGCATAGGAGAACATATTTTACCACCACTGTAAAGTCAAATCAGTGTGGTGGTATATGTAGTAGACAAATCAATAGAACAGCAGCATAAAGAGCCAAAGTTTAGTTCTAAGATGTATGAAAAATTTTATACAGATATTGATATAACTGATTTCCATTGGAAAGAAATTTAGTTTGGACCTCTCCTCCTCACTGGATATAGAAATACATTTCAGATGACTTAAAAAATTTGTTCACTGACAAAAATTTTAGAAAAAGATGTAAGTATCTGCATGTATAATGTAAAGGGCAGTAGGACCACAAAGAGACATTTTGCTACATGTTAAACTATAGACCAAAACCTTAAACCAAGAACTTTATTGTAAAGTTATTTAAGAAACTTAACCCCAATAAATATTGTAAAATATTTACTCACAGAAGAACAAATGGTAAACATGAAAAGGTATTTAGATCTATCACATATCAGAGAAAGGTAGAGTAATTTTGAAATTATATCCATCAAACTAAAAGAGGAGTTACAGTGCTTGTCGATGTTAGTGATGTAGAGGGACGCATACTCATGTTTGTTGAGTGTTCCCAATACAGAAAAAGTGATTAATGTTTGAGGTGATGAATTTGCTAGCTGCTCTGATCCGATCATTGCACATTATATGCATCTATTGAAGTACTACTTTGTACCCCCTCAATGTGTACAATTATTATATTAATTGAAATTTTAAAAAAGAAACATCCAATGAAAATTAAAATATTAGTATATTAAAAAAATTTTTAAAGCATTAGTATATTAAAATAAGTGCTCTAATATTTATTTCACCACTTTCATTGGTGCCCTTTCCTCCTCCAAAGAGGAAACAACCTGGAGATGTATTTTTAAAATATACTTTTATTGCATATTATTTATAAAAAATAAGAGGTTGTTAAAAATAAAAGGTAGTTTATAAAAACCAAAAGCAGATACTTGCGTTTAGCTGTGCCTGTGAGCCCCATAGCAAGTGGGGGCACACTGAGGAGTTTCCTCCCTGGCTAACACCACCTGATTGCTATCACCAATTTTCTTAGTTTTATAGAATTTGAGTTTTGTGGAACTTTAATATCAGAAATAGTAAACAGTTACTAGTTCTCAAAAGAAAAAAAACTGGGCTCCAGCAGTATTGTATAGGATACATTTTTTTTCCTACTGAATAGCCAGAAGTTACAGTGTTAGAACAATTGATGTATTGCATGAAAACATTGTTTTTATGCTATATTCATTTGAAAATTTTTTTTTTTTGGTACCGAAAATCGAACTCATGACCTCTTACTTGCCAGACAGGCACTAAGCCCCTGGACTAAATCCCTGGCCTCATTTGGAGTATTGTAATTGTGATATAATGAAACCAGTTGATTAAAGGAAAATTGTTTTATAGTTTTAAGGAGAAAGATTAAGTGAACATATTAATATATATGAATACTTTAAATGTTGTTTTAAATACTTTTTTCATAAATTCATTCCATCATTTAAGGTATTGATAACAGAACATGGTGATTTGGGAAATGGAAAGTTTTTGGATCCAAAAAACAGAATTTGTTTCAAATTTGATCACTTAAGAAAGGAAGCAACTGATCCAAGACCCTACGAAGCAGAAAATGCAATTGAATCATGGAGAACTTCTGTAGAAACTGCGCTGCGAGCATACGTAAAAGAACATTATCCGAACGGAGTTTGCACTGTAAGTCAGTGACAGCTTTTCCTTTTGTGTTTGTTATGCAAATGTGACTGGAATTTATAACTTACAGAACATTTTATAATTTGTAACATTTTTTGCTATTTTTTCAAAAACAAAGTAGTATGGTATTATAACCAAAAATGAAAAGCTAGTTATATCTTCAGTTAAATCTATATAGAAATTCTAAGACAAAGTTAAAGGAGAAATAATATGAGATTCTTTAATTGCATGTTCATGATTCATCTTCATTTTAGCATAAGTTTTTTTTAACTTGCAGAAATATTAGAACCAGTAAACTTATTTGGAAGTGAAATTATATCATCAGGTATTTGATAGTTACATTTTTTGGGTTTTTTTACATGATTCTCTCATAGGTTTAACTTACGTTTTGTGGGTGAAAAATGGTTAGAAAATAAGTGTGCTTTTTGTTTCTGAATATTGATAAAGATTGTGTCCAAATAGGCTGATACAGCATCCGCGTTTTTACTTTGAGACCACTCTATAATTGTAGTGATCTTTTCAAGTGCAAATAAGAGCATAAAAATCCTATGCTTGATTAAATGATCATAGAATGAAAGAAGGGAGAAAGGAAAAGAAGAATAGAAAGAAAAAGTAGAAACAAAGCTTTTATAAGTAAATGGGACGAAGGCCGAAGGCGATGGGAGGAGAATGGGAAAAAGGCAGCTAGATACACTCTGTACAAGTCAAATTCCCTACGATGAATGTTGTCATCGTGTATATTTAAAATGTACCCATAAGGGCTGGGGGTTTAGCTCAGTGGTGTAAGCACCTGTCTGGCAAGTGCAAGGTCGTGAGTTTGATCCCCAGTACCAAAAGGAAAAAAACAAAGTACCAGTAAAATAAAAAGAATAATTATAGAACTATAGAACAGAAACGGGAAATACAACAACATAGATACAAGGGAGAGAGGGAAGAGGAAAGGAAAGTAAGATTTAAGATGTTTTATGTACACATACCAACACCCCTGATGAATGTAATCATTATGTACTACAAACATGCATTAATATACTTTTTTTAATTCTAAAAAAATACAACAACATACCTAAGACAAACTTAGAAATTCTTTCAATTCAAACTTGTTAATCAGAGGATTTTAGAGGACTATCTCAGTTTTAAGTAGTGGAATAGCTAAGCTAGCCTGCACTTAGGGAAGAGTGAAAAGCCTGAATTACACATTACTTATAAAACAGTAGGAAAGAGGTAAGAGAATGTCATAACACAACATAAACATTCTTAATGACCTTTCTCAATTATGAGTACATTAACTTCCTAACCCTTAGTGATTTTAAAATGACTTCAAAAGATTAAGATTATAAGCAGCCTAAGATTATAAGCAGCCAAAAATGATAATCACAAACTAGGTACAGTTTTTACTTGAAGGGACATAATTACATTGGTATCTTTATGTTTAAATAAATAATGACCCTTGGGGCTGGGGATTTAGCTCAGTGGCATGAGCACATGCCTTGCAAGCAGGCGGTCGTGAGTTTGATCCCTGGTACCGATAAAAAATAAATAAATAAATAATGACCTTTATGTTTGGAATGAAAGTATGATATATCTAGCTTATAAATATTTTATAGTAAGTGAATTTTACTAAGTTTTACTTTTATCAGTTAAGAGATGTACATAGTTGAAAATGTTTTTCTAGTTACTATATTAAAAGACCTACTTTGTATTCTTTAATGTATGTCTTCCAAAATGCTGTACAGATTTCAGTATTTTACAGATGCTTAAAGTTGGACAGTCATAGCACTAAAGTCTCATTCTTGGTTTTTGCTTTTTTTTTTTTTTTTTTTCCCACCAATAAGGTGTATGGTAAAAAAATAGATGGACAGCAAACCATTATTGCATGCATAGAAAGCCATCAATTCCAAGCAAAAAATTTTTGGTAAGTTAAATAAACATTTGTTTATTGAGGAATTTTAGCATTGTTTATATTCTTTATAATTCTTGGATTTGTGATTAGGACTGAATCTTATTTGCATGTGGTAGAACTGCCTAAATATGAGATAAACCTGCAGCCTCTTGGAAAAAGAAGTTATAACTTCATAATTATCTAATCACTAAAGGTAGCAGTAAATCTTTAAATTCATTAGAAAGAACATAGGAGAGTATAGTGTTTTTGGAGACTAGTAGGCAGAAACCTGAAAGCATGTACACATGCAAGAAGACCAGTTGACAGGCCTACATGCTCACTCTGAGAAGGGGTTGTTCCCGAGTGATACTATGTGGAGGAGGAGGAAGGAGCAGATAATAGAAAACCACAATATTTTTGTGAACTTGAGAACTCCAAAGATGTTTTGTTGGAATTACTTTATGTTTGACTGGCAGCTATGAGAGAGAGTAACATTACAATTGTGCTTTGCAATTTTCTGTGTAAATTATACTTGCTGTTAAGACTTCCAAAGTCTTAACTCCCAAAAGAACTGACTTGCTCTATTAACTTTCAGTGTTTGACAAATTGTTGATCATTTTTATTCTTAGACAAGATTATTTCTGACATATTGCCTGTTAAAAAATTCTGAGATTCAGAATTGAATGAAATACTTCCTTTTTTCTTCTTCTTTAATATGGGATTAGGTCCTCAGAGTATATTATTCTTTGACTCATCAGCCAAGCTACTAGTGATACTGTTGAGGGTCAATTACCAAGGATCAGTATCCCAAGTGAACTGGTGTGGATTATTGATTAGGTTTGCTTTCCTGCTTATCTCAGAAATAAATGTAGCATTACAAAATTAATCGGCAGTATTTGGAGGAATGCATCATGAAACAATAATAATTTCCATCTGTAAACATGTTTTAATAATAAGCTGAATCATCTAAAACATTTTGGCATAATAAGGTTACTTTTATGGACTTAATACAAATGTAATTTCTCTTTTAACTTTAAAACTGTGCACCATTAATCTACCAGAATCCTAGCACAGTAAATCTTTGCAGAATTATTATTGATGTGTATGTTTATGCCAGGTAATACATAATATAATCCACTTTGTTGAAATTGAACTATTAAGAAATGAAAATAATTTCTACTGAGTTGTAGTTTAAAACCTTTTAGAGTTATCTAAACTATCACCATGAACACTGTATCACTGAAATTAAAAATTATTTTCACTTTCTAGAAAAGATTAATTTTATTTTTTAAAAAATGCTAAACAGTAATCTCAGTAAAACCTAAATATTTTAATGCATATAAACATACTATACTTCAGCTTACCTAAAATGCATACAGAAAAAAATTAAAAGTCATAGTCACAAGTGTTGTTTAGATTTCACTAGAGACCTCTTTTTGGCCTCTACTGTTACCTCAGTGTCTACTAGTATTAGGGGCTTACCGAATGTAAGAGTAATGTATATTTTGTATATTTGCAATTACAATACATGTGAACAGAATGTTATTAAGACTAGAACATTAGGGCCATCTTTTACATTGGTGAGGGGGTGTCATTTACCCAAATCATTTATTCTTGATACGTTAATGTTTCTTTCTTTCTTTTTTTTTGGTATTGCTAGGGGTCAAACTCAGGGTCTCACACATATTAGGCAGGTGCTATATCATCAAGTTATATCTACAGCCCCTGAAAGTGTCTTGAAATAGTTTTCAAAATTAATACCATTACTACTAGGACTGAATTTTTTGCAATCAATAGTGATATGTTTGAATATTGTCATAATAATCATTAGTGTGTATGTTTAAAACTCACTACTTACCTAAATAAGAATAAATAACTTCTTTTAGAATTATGAACCAAAAATGAATAGATCTTGATTCTTTTTCCAGCCCAGCATTTCTGAGTACCCTTGGATGAGTTACTTAAAATCAAAACATGTTACAAAGTTGTTTTTTATTTTGTAGAACATATACATTGTTCTTGGCTGTTAACTCTAGGAATGAAAGTACTATCATTCCACAGACTTTATGTTTGGATAGATTACAAAAATATGGAAAGTAACTCATATAATTTAATAGCAAAAATAGTGGTGGTCCATTAACTCTTCATGATTCTGGAAGCATACAGTCTCAGAATAGCTGAGGGGTATTAATCTACATATCAAAATGTCATTAGTGTACAAAGAACAAATAGGCAAAAAAGAAATGGAGCTGCTATGAAAAGACTGTCAGAAAAATAGGGCAGAATTCACTAGTAGACAAAAATGAGTCGTTATATATACATTGTTCATAATTTCTCAATTTCCTACCAAAAAGGTGTATTAATTTTTATATCAATACTGTTTTTTAAAAAGGTGCCCTTTGTGTAGCAGATTAAACTTAATATTAGAAAAGTGATTTTTAAAAACCAAACCCTTAGGGCTGGGGATTTAGCTCAGCGGCATAAGCGCCTGCCTTGCAAGTATGTGGTCATGAGTTCAATCCCTGGTACCAATAAAAACAAAAAAGACAAAAAAAAAAAACAAAACCAAAAGCCATACCCTTTCTTTCCAGATATCAAAACCTACCACGGGTGTTACATAACATTTTCTAGTTGTTTAAAATATTATTTGGTACTGTCATTCAGTACATATTAAATTGCTTTGATTGTATTTATGAAAGGACTTGATAGTCTATAAACATTTGTTCAATTTAATTTAAAGCATCAGTCATTCAACTGAAGTAGCTTAACATTTTCTCTAAGAAATATCTTAGTTTTGAATCATATTTTAATCCTTAGAATTTTGAAGTTACATCCATTGTCTAGATTTTTCTTATGACTAGGGTCAAGATTCAATACAAAGGGTGGTTTAAAAATGCTATGAGTGTTTAAATTTTTAAAAATTACTACAGTGAAAGACACATTGCCATTAATACCCCTCACAATAGTCACCTTCAAATACTTTATTGTTCTTTCCATTTTTTGGAATAGTTGTAGAAATCTTCTTTATTGAGTATCTGTATAGGGTGTGATAAAAAGTTCAATGAACACAACTACTTAGTTCCATCTAATGAAAAATAAGGCTCATAAAAACATTAACAGTGTGTTCTCATCTGTCTTACTCATTGATTCTGACACTGTATAACTTGTGACTCTTTACCCAATGTCAAAATGATCAGGAAAGGCAAATATTTGGTAATAGTTCAGAACCTCAAAGCAGACACAATAGTATAACTAAAGATATTCATGAAAGAAGACTTCCAGAACTGCTTCATCAAGTGGCTAAGATTTTGAAATTAGTATGTTGAAAGTGAGGGAAAGTATTTTGAAGGGAATTGATGTCATTGTGTCTTTTACTATAATAAGGTTTTTAAACACACTGTATTTTTTAATCAAACCTTGTGTCTTATACCTATTGTTGACTTTTTGATCCTTTAGAATATTTCATTATTTAAAAATAAATATCCAGCATCTATTTCCTACACTTTGTCACACTGTAGCATTAACTTTAAATCTGAAGCTTAATATTGATTCAAATTATTTTCCCTACCTTATTTACAGCTGCTGTTTTTATTTTTAAGGAATGGTCGTTGGAGATCAGAGTGGAAGTTTACAATCACACCTTCAACCACTCAGGTGGTTGGCATCTTGAAAATTCAGGTATAAAATTTAAAGAGAATTTCTTTACTGATTTTCAGATTATTCTGATCAAAGGAACAACAAACCTAATAAATTTGTATTTTCACAGTACACCATACCATCTCTTTCCCCAATTTTTGTTTTGAAGTGATGAGAAAAAGAAATACTGTTTTAAATCTTTTAAATAACCTTACAGTTTCCCTAGTCATCAAAAATCTGTGAGGATAGCTGACAGATTCTAAAACACAGCTAAAATTAGATGCTGCCATTTGGTCTGCACCTCATACAATTTGTTCATCTAAGCATCTTCTGAGTTTGAGTTGTGCCCTTCTGTCATCTGAATTGAGTGGAGTATAATACATGTATGTGGATATACAAATACATATTAAATGTCTATATAACCATATATTACATATGTTTTTAAAATATCTCATGTACTCATATTTGAATACTTAGATGAAACCCACTAGAATTCAATTCTTTGACTCTTAATGTAAGTTCAGATGTTTTTGTAGAAGTACTTTTGATAACTAAATACTTGAATATATATTGCTAAATGAGTTAAAGGAAGGTACTGATCTTTCTGTGTTTTGGTTCACTTTTTCAGTACATGTGTTGATGAACTGTCATGAAAGATATTATGCTAGGAGTTGTAAAAGAATAAATATGAATGTTGTATGGCAGCTTTGTCATCTGAGTTCAGTATACATTTCTAGTTTTGTTCCACATTGGTTTATGCCCATTTCCCTGTTCCTTAGAGAATAGAACTTAAGAGCATAGAATCTGAAGTCAGACTGTCAAGTGTTTGAATCTCAGCTCAGCTGATTACTATTTTTGATGTCAGAAGATCATCTAAGTTTGTATGTGGTGCCATCCATTATAAAGTAGTTAAAGCCTGCATATCCCTGTAATCCCAGCACTTGGGAGGCTGATGCAGGAGGATTTACCATGAGTTTGAGGCAACCTGAACTACATAGCTAGATCCAGTATCCAAAAGAAAAGCTTGTAGGATTGTTTGAGAATTAGTTGATATTGGGTAAAATGGTTAGAACAAAACCTGATACAAAATGCTCTGTGAATAATAGCTATTCTTGCTGACATTCCTTTTAGATAGGCCTCAGTAGCTCTTACCTGGATAATTTTAGCACTTTAAAATGATGTCCCTGGTTGTCTGGTTCACAGTTCCATCTTCAACACTTATTATAATGGCTGGCATCTGATTTACTTAATTTGGTTAAATTGCTGATCCTTTGGTATTTCCTAATTAGTTTTTGAATTGCCATGTGAAAGATTAATTTTTTAAAAAATTTAAGCTAGGGTGTGTTACTTGCCTAGTGGTACACTCCTACCTACCAGATAATCCAGACATATTTGTATAGTATATAGGGTCTGAAGTTGACTGGTCTGCTACCTGTGTATTTCTCCAGGTGTGTCTCCCCCCCCCCCTTTATATACATTCTAACCACAAATACCTTTAATGCTTTCTGATACATGCTGAAGTTCATTTAAAAACCTCTGAGTCTAACCTCTGCTAGTGTATTTTGTGCAACCCCTGGTGTTGCAATGTTAGGCTAAAGACTCATTTTAAAAGCCATGTATTTCCACAATCTTCTGTGGTGCCAATATTTATATTATTGATGAATAAGTTCATGTCCTGGGACATTTAAATGTTTGGTGGAAATGCACAAAAGAGAAGCAGCATTAGGAAGGATCTTATTGTGACCTTAATTTTATACTTAATGGGTTTTGATACCACTAAAATGGCTATAATGTAACATCATATAGCAGTGAGGTCAGTGGAAGTCATTCACTTTCCTAAATAATTGCACCAATAACTGGTATTTCCACTAGACTGAGAGTAAGAAGAGTCTTGCTGAAATTTAAAGGACTAAACTCAGTAGAGAAGACTGGCTGGCACTGAAATTGGTAGTCAGCTGCATTTGTATGAGTGCTGAACGTGCTTTCTATTGTTTTTCTAATAGGTTCATTATTATGAAGATGGTAATGTTCAGCTAGTGAGTCATAAAGATATACTGGATTCCCTAACAGTGTCTGTAAGTAATTCCACAATAAAATAAAAAGTGTAATGCTTCTGTAAAACCATACCAGTTTTGCAGTTTATATTTTAAATGTTTCTGCTTCAGGTTAAAGTGTTTTCAGATTGGTGAAAATGAAGTTTGTACTTAATATTTGTAGCAGTTTTTGAATTATAATTCACATACCACTTAGTTCATTCTTTTTAAAGTGTAAAATTCACTTTTTAAATTAGCAGAGTTGTGTAGTAATCACTGCAATCTAAATTGAGAACTTTTCCATGTTTCTTTAACCTGTACCTATTAATAGTCACATCATCCTCCCTAGTTCTTCTCTCAGACCTCTTCCTATGCTGAGCAACCACTTAACCTGTTTTCTGACTGGATTTACCTGTCTGGACATATCATATAAATACACAGTCATATAGTACATGGACTTTTATGACTGGCCTCATTTCATTTAGCATTTTTCAGTATTTGTCTTTATTGGAGTCTATATTGTTACATTCCTTGTCATTGCCAAATAGATATTTCATTGCATGGATATACACATTTAGTCATTAAGTGGACATTTCTGTTGGTTTCTACTCTTTGCTGCTATAAGCATTTATGTACTATTTTTTTGGTAAAAATAATTTTTCTTTAAGATATATGCATAGAAGTAGATTTGGGGGGATTTCCAGACATTTCTAGGATGTCTGCACCATTTTATGATTCCAATTTGAGGGTGTATAACAGGATTCCAATGTTTCCATATCCTCAAAACTCTAGGTTTTTTGTTTGTTTGCTTTGTTTGGTTTTTATTACAGCCTTTTTAGTGAATTTACTTGAAGTGGCATCTTGGTTTCTATTACCATTTTCCTGATGGCTATCATGTTGAGCATATTTTCATGTACTTATTAGCCTATATTTCGTCTAGGGAATGTCTGTTCAGTTCCTTTGAGCATTTGTAATTGTTACTGAGTTATAATTGTTTATTTTAGAGTTTGAGGTCAGATACATGATTTGCAGATATTGTCACTCCATGTTGTCTTTTTGCTTTCTTCATTATATTATTTGTAAAATAAGACTAGTTTCAATGAGTTTGATGTATTTTTTCTTTCACTATTTGTGCTTTTAGTGTATTAATACAACCATCAACTGACCCAAGATCATAAAAATTTACTTCAGTGGTTTCTGCTACAAATTTTCATAGTTTTTAACTCTTTACTTTTAGGCTTATGATCATATACCTAATATTTAGGCTGTATTTTATGTTTTCTTTCCTCTAGCTATTTAGTTTGTGATTTACAATTAAATATTTTTTGAATTTAAGGAAAATTATTTTTAATTATAAAATTCATTTAGCTTCAAGAAATATTTAACAAGGAGAGGGAAGTAAAAAAGAATTAAGATGTGTTAGGTACACTTGTGTAATGATGAATGTAATCATTATGTCCTGCAAACATGCACTAATGTTTTTGTTTTAAATAAAACCCAGAAACATTTAGAAGTGTTAGGCCAAGTGCTACATGAGGAAAGAAAGAAGCATGTTTTGAGAAGTTTTTGTTCACACTTAGATAATTTCCACTTTTGTACCAACGTTTATTTATGCTCCTTGCAGAGTTTGCCTGTAAGCTTTCATAAAACATTGAATTCCATATAGTTAGATACCATATATAATTCTCACGTAATAGTGTTTGCATAACAAGGGTACTTGGTATTCTCTTTGGGGAGTTTGACATTAAAGAAAGGTTCTTCCTAAGAGAAACTTGTTCAGAAAATTATGAACTGTGGTATCGTAAAAGTTGGCCATATTAGCTAAACTATACTAATAAGCTGCTTAGGTCTGAGTGCCAGGAATAACTGTTTATATCATTCTGTGGGATTTATTTTCATAAATATTCTGTGAGATTTATTTTCATAAATAAAGTGTTGTTTTTGGAAAGACCACTTCATTACATGGATGAATACACACATAGACATACACACACACTCAGTGCATGCTAGAGATTTTCTTTTTTTATCCTTTTGGCTTTTTTGTTTGTTTGTTTGTTTGGAGTTTTTTTGGTTTTTTTTGTTTTGTTTTGTTTTTTTGGTACTGGGGATTGACCTCACGACTGCATTTGCAAAGCAGGCACTTACGCCGCTGAGCTAAATTCCCAGCCCTGATTTTCATTTTTAACACATTTATTAAAAAGAAACACAAATTTCCATTGACTTTACTATTAGGGAAAATGAAAATAAAACCATATATCAGCATGTTAAATTTTTTTTCTGAAGTATTTAGATAATAGAATAAATTTACCTTAAATTTGGAAGTACATTCTTCTTTTCATCAATGTTTTATATCATTGTGGTAAGCATTATGCAGTAAGTAAATATTTAACAGTAAATGAAGATAGTTATTTTGTAGCAATCTGTGCCTAACTTCCTACCTGTAAAGCTTATCTTTGGAATGAATGTTAAGTATTTTATAATTAAACTTTCTAGTCAGTGTATATTTCTTAAGATTTTACTTACCTTAAATTAAATACATAAACGATACTCATTCTATGAAATTTTACAGTATTTCTATCTAGTTCTCTTTGGGTTTAGAATAATTGACTTTACAATTTTCCATTTACTTGTTACAGTATTCATGTGTTTTATTTATTATAACATTTCATTATCATATGTATTTTTAAAGTAATAGTTTAGTTTTAAATTACTGTTTTATTTACTTTTGTCTTATTTAGAATGAAGCGCAAACAGCAAAAGAATTTATAAAGATTGTAGAAGCTGCAGAAAATGAATACCAGGTATGATGTTTCACATTTTTTATATTGTGTTCATTATTGAATGGCACTAAAATTTTACTTTCAGCCATAATCCTGAATTTTTCATTGTTTCACTGTATAATAGATGGTCTTTTGGTTGTATGTTTGATATTAGTATAAGAACAAATTTGTGGAAGTGTAGTCCAAAAAATGGCAAACAAACTGAATTTAGTTAAGATTTTGTTTTAAAAATACCAAGACTTGGGCTAGGGGATTAGCTCAGTGGCACAAGTGCCTGCCTAAGAAGCAGGAGGTCATAGATTTGATCCCCAGTACTCAAAATAAAAGAGATTTGGTATTAACTATATTGGTTAAAATATGCCAAGTTCTTCAACAGCTATTTTCTCATTGGAAATTTTAATTTAAGAAATGTTTTCTAAACTATTTGGATTATATATAATCTGCCCAGATCACATTTCAGTTTGTGCTCTACTGTTTTACATTATCAGTTTCCAAACTAACATTTGAATTTAAGCATTTAATTTGTGTGTTGGATGAGTTTCCATTCCTTATAAATAGTAATTTACAGATTGTTTTGACTAAAATAGTAAAATAAATTCAAAATAAGGACATAGATATTAAACCTAAAGTACATTTCATTAATCATTCAAAATGATTATATGCTTTTTTCTTATAGCAGCTTTTAAACAGTTTTTAAAGCAAGTCAAGAGTTTCAACTGTTTAAAAGCGTTGAAATAAGTTCCTTAAATGTTCTAAAAACATGTTAAAAATTGTTTTGTTCCTTTCATTTGTTTTAAATTTCTAACTACTGTTTTTCATAGACTGCCATCAGTGAGAATTATCAGACAATGTCGGACACTACTTTCAAAGCCTTACGTCGACAGTTGCCAGTTACACGTACTAAGATTGATTGGAACAAGATCCTTAGCTACAAGATTGGCAAAGAAATGCAGAATGCATAAGATGAACATTGCATGTCCAGTTCATTTTAGTAATCTTTGCGTTTAAAAAAATCATTGCAAAAGTGTTCAGAACTGTTAAGCTGCCCAGGTGGGGTATTGCCATGTAAAATCAGTGTAATTAATTAGTTTGGTTAGAGCACAAAGCTTAGCTAATCAACCATTCTTTTCTTTTGTTTGAAGAGAATTGAAAAAAATGAGTTTAGGATAAATGTCTTTTACTTTCTGTTATTCCTTTGTTACAATGAAGAGTTGATTCCTTTAGTTTATGGTTAAAATTTTTGAAGTATTACAAAAATATTTTATTTAGTATAACCCTAAAATTGTTGTCTTTGGCTTATGAAATGGGTAACTTTTGATAGTAGCCCAATTCTTTTTAATGGGGTCAGTAATAGACATTCTAGCTTAAGGTGGTTGATAGACTTAGCCATACATGCTGCTAAAGAAATTGTCTACATTTTCCCCCTCACCTCTTCCACTTGTGTAAGATTGAGATTAGAAGGAAAGCAATTTTCTATATCAATTGTGTTTAAACCTTTCAGTAAGGTTATTTAGCTAGCTTAGTGTTGAACTAAACTTTTTTAAAACAAGGCCAAGTTTTATTGCTGTTTTGAGATTCTGAAATTAAATGAAAACACTTATAAATGCATTTAATGCTTTTTTTCTTGTGACAGTTATGCAAATTAGCTTGAATTCCGTATGTTCCTGAGTTATTTTTATCATAAAGCCACAACTATAGTATAACAAGGCAAATTGTAATATATGTAATCCTGAAATCATGACCATGTCTAAGTTTATTTTTTTCCTTGGATTGAAATGTACTGAAAATCAGTGTGACATTAAAATGTAAACTTTCCTATTTACTTGAGTAGAAAAATCTCTTAACAGTAAGTCATATACTATTTTAAAATACTTTGAATATTGTAATTCTTAACTGGTTGTAAATTAGGAAAGCTGGGAATACCAATAGTGTGCAGTCAGAGTCTTTTCCATCTTCCTATGCATCATAAGCATGTGTGTAATATTTTAAAAATATACTGATACTACAGGAATTTCAAACCTGTGGTGAATGTTAGTATTACTATCAGGAGTTGGGTGGATTTACAGTTTCATTCAATAGAATTTTGTTGCTTATCTTTGAGTGAAATCCATTCATCGCATACTCCTGCAGACATCTGACCCTGGAAAAATTTTTTAAGCGCCACTTTTATTATGAACAATAAAATATTTCATTAGCTTAAATTGTATAGATTTTTAAAAATTCAATGAAAGCATGTTTAATTTCTTTTTAAATATCACTGTTGGGCTTTGAAACCACTGAGAATATAATCTGAAATTATGACTTCTTTGGCTAAATCATTTTCTCTTTAGTTTGCAAGTTGTGTGTATTGGGATTCCTAAGGAAAATGAATTGATTTATGAATTATCTGTTCACTTTTTAAAAAACTTATTCAAAAGTTTGATGATCATTCTGAACTAAATATTGGATAAATATAGATTAGTTGTGTTAGTTGGGCTGTCTTGAGTTTATAGTCCATTCCAAAAAGGGGAATTCCTTTGGCTTTTTTTAATAATTTAGAAAACATGCTTGAAGATGTATGCAAATGTTTTTAAAATTTGCATGTTGTCAAAATTTATCAAAAGTAGTTTAAAATTCATTCCAAAATTTGTGTACAATGGACTAGTCTTTTACAGTCTTTTCAGTTTATGAATAACATTTTATTAAAGGAAAAGATGAAACCTCAAAGTATCCTGAAGCTCAGGGATATTCTTTTAATAGGAGACCTAATGGCTCTTCGTTTAATAGGCTGAACCAACAGGCAGGGGTAAAGGGTAGAATCGGGAGGAATAAGTAAGAGACTGTTACAATAAGCCAATTGAAAGAAAATGATGACCTGGATGAACTGGTAAAGCAGTAGGTAAAAATCAGCAAGATTTGATGAAATTTCAGGATCATGATATAAAGAGAACTGTCAAGGAATGTGGAACATGAAATATGGGTTTGAGTTGGGGAAGATTCTGGAAGGAGCAGGTAGGTGGTTGGGAGCAGGGATCTGATCAGAAGGTCTATTACAGATTTCAAAGTGAAATATTACAGTAGTTAGACACGGGAGAGAGAATGCACTACAGGAGAATGGGACAGTGAATGAGCCTGGGAAAGTTTGATAGCCAGGAAAATAGAAGACTCCTCTAGATGTGGTAATTGATTTAGAGTGTATATAAAGGTGTATATATAAGGTGTATATTTAGGGTGTATATAAAGAGAGAGAAGAGAGTTGAAAATTTGGCGCAGTGGATTATACATATGTTCAATTAAGGATCTAAAAGGAGTGAACTAGAAATGTAAAAGTGGTTAGAATGTGTCGTGTTTAAATCAAGATTTCTGGGAGAGTTACTAGTAATACAAGGTATGACCAAGAAAGTGACTAGCTGAGGGAAGAGAATAGATGGGCACAAGCAACATGAAGCCTAGGGTTGGGAAAATCATTTCTTGATACTGAAATCAAGAATTCTTGAGCCAAGCATAGTGGCACCTGACTATGATCCCACTGTTCAGGGAGGCTGAGGCAGGAGGATCACAAATTCAAGCCCAGCATCAGAAATGTAATGACTTATCAGGACCCTGTCTCATTATAAAAATAAAAGGGCTGGGGATGTAGCTCAGCATACAGGTTCTGGTTCAATCCCTGTATCCTTCCAAAAAAAAAAACTTGGTAGAAGTGTTTTGACCTGAGAACTTTTTCTCCTAGACTATGAATACAGACTATATACAGACTGACAGTAGTGTTACAACCCCAACAAACTTATCATAAAAAGAAAGTATAACAGTCAGAAATGTACATGATACACAAATGCACATAAACTTTGAAACATCAGAGCGTAACCACCTCAGACATACTTAACATTTACACTGGGTTACACTTGAGCTAAGTCATCTAACAAGCCTATTTTATAATAAAATATTGAAGATCATATAATTTATTGAATACTGAAAGTGAAAAATAGAATGTTACACAAGTACAGTGTTACACCTTTGAGAAGTCATAAATTGGGGAAAGTTTGTGCCTATATATGCTGATTACATTTTTAAGAATTAGATAAATATGTATACAGAAGTTTTTGGGAATTGTTAAACATTTGAGATTTTTGGAAACCAAATAAGGATAGGAACTTTAAAAGAAAGTTGTCCTGGAAGTTCTAATTCATTATGAAATGTCGCCAAAAGGAATGTACTCAGGAAAACTAATTAAGAACAACTACTGATAATTATGTATCACTTGAGTACTGCTTTCTATGTTTAAAATCACTTTGACTTTTAATAACTATGTTGAAGGCTTTCAAATAATAGACAATCCTTTCAAAAGGTCTTTCATACCAGATCATGATTTTGTATCTTTGCACTAGTGTTTAAACCTATAAAGGCATATTTAGTGAAGAGTTACTTTGTAATGCAAGTACATTTTTTAAAAATTCCATAAAGGATATGCATTTTTTTCTTGGATGCATAATTTTGTTCACTTACCTAAAGTAATTTACTTCTGGAGACAATGACAAACACTTGCCAGTTTTAAAATGTCAACTTGGGGGTACTGAAACAATTTTTTAAGACTAAACTCTGCATAGGCATCTTTAGAGTTGACATTCTGTTATGCTTGAGCTTTATTTTAGGATTGGCCAGGAATGATAGCAATTGGAGAATATACAAAATATTTACCAGTTTAAATAGCCCATTGAACTTGTAATGTCTAATTGGAAATGGAAATTAATGTCAGGTCATTCAAGATTAATCATACGGTATCCAGAGGACTATTAATATATGATGGAGTTCAGAAAATATATAACTGTTTCATAAAGAAGTCTATAGACTAGTTATGGGCCTCTGGCAGGGTTTTCCATTCTTTTTGTCATCACAACATATTTACATATATACAAAATGCTGATGTTTATAAAACTGCAGGAAATGGATAAGGCTGCTTTGTTGAGGGCAGTTGAAAAGTACACCTTAAATCCATTTAGGAGGATCTATCATGGGTAGCACATTAAAATGTGCATTTATAATTAAAATTGGGTTCTTTGTAATGTAAACACCAAGCTTTATTGTTCCTAAGGTAGTTTTAAAAGATGTCAAGTCAAGGAGAGTTTCCTAAAAAGGATGAATTCTTAACTGTACTTCAGCACACTAACGATTTTCTTGGGTCGGCAAGAAATCCTTTTGTATATCATTGAAGCATCAAAATACACTTGACGGACGAGGGATACAACTCAGTGGCATAAGCAACCTTCTGGCAAGCACAAGGTGTCCTGGTAGCAAAAAAAAAAAAAAAAAAAAAATTGCAGTTGACATTTCTCATATAGAATGTCACAAGGCATAGTAATGTCTGCTTCAAAACTAAATTGAGATTTTAAAGCATACCATAATATATAATGAAAACAATGTGAAGAGTAAAATTATAAATAAATGTTCTTATAAACAGTATAGCCAGTAAGATAATAAAATATCTTTATTCCTACCTTTGGCATTACCTAGCAAAAATGTGCTGATTAGTATGTTTTCATTCTCTTGCAGTGTGACTGAATTAGACTTTTTTTTTCCATACAAACTGACTAGAAAGTACACATTTTACAAAATGTGTACATTACATAAATGGCCAAACCAGCTATTTATTGTAGTAGTGTAAATCTTCACTCATCTGTGAGACGATGTGGAATTAAAGCATTCAGATTAATAGATGGCAGGAAAAAAAAATTGGTGTATCTTAGAATTACAGGTTATTAGAAGAAATTGTAAAATGCCCAGTTTTTAAGCCAAATAAATTTTCAAAGCCTTCTTATTGCAAAAATATCCCTGACACTTGTGTAAACAGTAAAAATCGTTATTTTCCTCTTTGGCTTCATATTTTGTGCAGCTGACTTGTTAATTTAATGGAATCTGAATACTGATTCTGAACCCAGATCTGTCATCCCAGGATTTTACCTGAAAAACGAATCCTCAGGAGCCAGTTTTCTTACATATAAATTAAGTATTTAGAGAAGACTTTCTTTTTTTTCATATGGCAAGATGCAGGAGAAAAAGGAAAGAACCACCCCACACACACATAACACATATACACACAGACCATGTATCCTCATGTTTTTCTCATTGTGTAACCTTATGGTGGAAAAATAAATAAATAAAACTTAATCAAAAGTGAAATTCCATTCTAGAGACTTGTAATGGCAAAAACCTTAAACCCATGTACATACCCCGATTTAGTTCAGAACACACTTAGTGCTCTAAATCAGAGCTGCTTATAGCAGTATACTGACAAAACACGAGGGAAAAAAGGAAGTTACAGAAGGTAAGTACACTAATTTTATAAACAAGTTTAAAAATTTATAAAACTAAATACCATTTTATGTATTGCAAATGTATAAAACACGGAATTGAGATAAAAATGAAATCAGTATGTGAGGAGAAACAAATGGGAAATTTAGTTATATCTAAGATTGCTTAAATTTAATGATAGGTATGCAGGTGCACATTTTTTATTTTTTTGTATCGTATGTTTTTCTTTTAAAAAATAGGTAATGTGTTGACATTAAAGTATGTGAAAGAATACATCTGTCCATCCTGACCCAGGCAAGGTAGAAAAATGGCAAAGATCATATCCACAGCAAAACTGAAAGTTTACTTGTACCTCTCAGAAGGTCTCAGACTTTTTTGGTGAATTTCATCCAACTCTCGATACATAAATTTCTGTTACAGGAATTATTCTAGGTGGAAAGAAAATATGAAAGCTATGTTACGAAAGTGGCCTTAAGCTGAAACACCAAAAACAAGGTTGATGAAACTTCTCTGTAAAGTTAAGAGCAAAACTCCTTACTGTATAAATGGCCAAGGAATACTACATTGTACCCAAGTATGGTTTATGACTAGAATGCAATGAGTATTCCCTGTTTGGAACCTAGCAATGCAGCTTACTACATTAGAATATTAAAGAAGAAAAAAATCATTTTAGTAGATACCACAAAAGCATTTGGTACAACTTAGTGCCATGCTTTGATTTTAAAAGCAGCATCTGGTATCAGTGGGGTAAAGGTAAATTACTCTAAAAATGGGGGTGCAGGGGGTTCAAGTGAATCCATTTAATAGTATAAAATGGTAAGTTCATAAAAGAGCTGAAGTACATATTTTTAAGTAATTTCAGAATCTTACACAAAAATTGATAATTATTTGACTTAGAAATGAAGATGTAATATGTGGTGTAAAGTGCTCTTAGCAAGGTCAAATGATAAACTACTCATGGGAAAAAAATGCTTGCAGTTTATATAACATTGCAAACTTTCCTAACGTCAAGCAAGTTCTGAATACCACAGAAATTGAAATCCAGATTCTTTGACACCTGAGTCTGACATTATGGAAAGCCTTACCAGTCTTAGACTAATTGGAACTTTATTGAGAAATAAACTTACCCTGTATCAGCCACTGCTGGTTTGGTTTAATTATTTGTTGTTGGCTTGCTTTCTTTTTTTTTTTTTTTTAAACACTTCTGCCTTTCAACCTACAAAAAAATTGGGCCAGCAATGTGCATCAATGGGTTCTTGACATTTCAGTACAGTACAGTGTGGGAAGTGCTTTCTGCTGTACATACATCAGCCCTGCCCCTAGGAACCAAATACTAATGATGCCTCCTAACTCATTCTTTATTCAGAATTGATACTGTGGAAGAAAAAAATACTGCTTCACTAGCTAGAGGGAGTGAATAGGACATAAATAATTGCAGGCTAGAAAGTAGCTGACCCTTGGAAGGCAATGACAATACACTTGATATTGCTTGCCTCTGTTGCCTTGAAAGTAAACAGTCAGTGGCATTAATGATAGGAAAGATGGCAGGGAAAATTGAGAATGATGACCTGTGCCATCAGAGAGAGAGAAAGATAGCAAATGTACATACTGAGGTATAAGTGGTTAACTGCTGTACTGAATCTGCCCATATGTGAGGAGACATCAGAGCCTGATTGAACTTGCAATATCAAATCTGGTAAGGGTTTCCATGTACTAGCCACTGATCCAAAAATGTTCCAAATTCACTAAACTTTTGTTCATTCTCTTGTGGGCTACAGGTCCCAAGTGATGTATTAGTGGGAGATAGATTGAGGGCAGGGATGAAAATACAGTAGTACACTGGCTTGACCCAAGTCCACTATCTTGGAAAGTATTTTCTGTTGCTATATAACATGACCACAAAGTGTCTTTATGCAAGTTTATCTCCGTTTCCATATGTCCCAACACATTAGCTTGAGTTCTGAGTTCCTGATCTTGCTAGACTGAAATCATAGCTGCGGTTTCATGTGAGACTTGGATTCCTCTTCCAAATGTATGTGATTATTGACAGAAGTCAGTTTCTTACTAATCTAGTTCAGGAATGGAATGGGCACTGGGTTAACCAAATCACAAAGTGTTAGAGAAAAGAGCTTTAAATACATAGAACAGGTGTTAACAGGAACTACTCTGGGTAGACTGCTGTGTGGTATTACTGTGATAACTACAGCCCCAGTTGGAGTCAGAAAGAATAATAGAAAATGAAGAAAATTCCTCAAGAATAGGCAAGTTCTTCCCAAAAATCCAAACAGAAGGACTGCCCCCTATGGGCTAACCATTGAACTTCCTTGTCAAGAATAGAGACCCCTTAAGATTCCTGTTACTTTAAAAATACATTTTAATTTAGAGTTATACTTGTTTGTGGGGTACACATATACAATATGTAGTGATCAGATGAGGGTAATTGCATGTCACTTCAATGTCTTTGTGCTGGACATTCAAAATCCTGCTAGCTGTTTTGAAGTGTCCAATTTTTATGCTACTATAGTTATTTAAGTGATACAGAACATTAGATTTGTGTTCTTATGTAACCACTATATTATTTCCACTTTGTTCCATTTATGAATTGTAATTACTCAACCCCTACATCCATATTGAGTGCGTTGAAGCAGATATTATTAGTTTGCTGGTGATATATTTACCCAGATGCCTAGGACTTTGAACTGACTACAAGAAGAGACTAGGACCTTGGTGGTATATCCCTTGTGGAGGAGTAGTATTTTTTGTATAGTAAGAAGAGAACATTCATACAGGTCAAAGGAGTAATCTGAGAGAAACTGGTAGTTGTCCATTCAGTGTCCATTTTCTCCTGCTCATCTGCCCTTGCAGAATGGACAACAGCTAGGAGAGGCCACATGACTCCAGGATGATGATCTTGAATATATCTGGCATGGAGTACAGATTCAGTACAGCTGTTGACCCTCTTGATTTGTAATTGGCCATCTTCTAAGTTCTGGCTAATGAGAAAAGCAAAAGTAGTGTAGGACAACTTTTGTAGTCTTCCATAGAATCAGAACCTGTGCACGCTCCCTTCTCGTTTTCCTTTTTGTCCATCTTGCTTCAGACTTTGATGCCTTCTCACCTTTTTATTAAGGCTGGATGAAAACAACCCACAGCCTTTGCCATAAGCAACATACCCAGCCCCTTTTAATTTTTATTTTGAGCCATGGTCTTGCTAAGTTGTCAGGCTGAGCTCAAACTTAGGATCTTCCTACCTCAACTTCTCCAAGTGCTTCCATTTCTAACCCTAAGTCCAGATACAGTGGTTGCTTACACCCCTTCACATTTTGGAGCCCTGTGCCAACTGGAGCCACGTTGTTGGCTTTGTACCAGAGGAAAGTAAACTTCCTTTTTGCTTGTCAATACTATTTTGTTTCTTCTCGCCTGTAGTTTAAACTTCTCTTACAAGATGTAGCCTCCTCTCCACCCTGTGTCATTTCACATTTGAAAAACTGCAGATGGGTTTTAAGATCTAGCTAAATGGTAGAACTTTAGCTGGGAATTTTGAGCTTAAGAACAATCTTCCTAAAACTGAATAAAAAACTTTTTAAGGGAAAAATTTAAACGGTTATTCCAAAATATTTAATACTGCCAACCATAAAATATGTGAAATTTAATATATTGGAGTATGGAGAATTACAGTATTTTTAGACCTCTTCATCAGTGGTCGCAAGACTTCGTGGTCAGAGATGTCACCACGCCTTAGAAGAGCTCTGTGTTTGTGAGCATATGTTTAAGTGAGATGTGATCATGTTTGAAACTTTTAATGAATGGATATGGTACAGTTCCAGAGAGAAGCCAGCAGGTGTCGCTCTTCTCACTTCAGGCTTAGCTCAGCGCTGTAGGTGGATGACTTAGTACATCTTTGCAGTACAATGCGTGATTACATGCATCGTGGGAGATTGTACATAGCACACCTTAATTCTTTTTACATCCTCCCTACTCTATCTATCATCCCTCCTCCCATTTGCAAAAAATCTGACTTCCTGTTTTCTATTATGTTTTTGACTTTTTTTCTTTTTACTGGTACATTTTAGATATATGTGATGATAACATTCTTTGTAGGGAATTTGTATGTCATACATCTTGCTTTTTTTTCCCCCAGCCGCCTCCCCTCCCTTCAACCCCTCATTCTTGTTCCCATCCCCTCTCCCTTGTTCCTCAGCTCATTTGAACATTTATCTTTTATTTGTTCTTTACTTTTATTTGGGGTCTCAAAACAGAAACCATGAGATATTTAGCTTGTGTATCTGATTTATTTCACTTAACAGTAGTGGGACACATGATGCTCCATGTTTCTACATGTGAAATCTTTCCTTGGATTCTAACCTTGAAAAGTTTCTTAACTCAGCATCCTTCTGCTAAATTTAGGGCATACGAAGGTACACCAGAGAATGGAACCTAGCGTTATGCAGGCCTCATTTCCACATTCAGCATCTCCCTGCATCTGGATTGAAAATGTAGAGATAGGCGGCAAAATGTACCCTCTCTGGGACCTGGAATTGAGACACCTAGAAAATAAAAACTTGAGGAAGACAAAACAATGTAGAGCTCCAGGAGCTGGAGGGAGCTGACAGGAACACCACAAACTACAGAGAAATGTTGCAAAATGCAGAAAAGGAGGGAAGAAAAAGCAGGACCTTCTGGAGAGGGAGCTGTGTCTCTGGTGACACAAAGTAAGCCCGAGAAGGTCTGCAGCACTGGACATGAGAAAAACCCATGATGATTATAAACTGCAAAAACTGGGATTTTACTCTGGAAGTGACTCCTGTATCGCAGGCTAGAGTTAGAGGAAATCCAGTGTAGTGCCCACCACAGTTGAGAGTGTTTATACAGGGAAGGACTTACCTGTTCCACGTGTGCTCAACCTATCTGTTCACTGCCAGGCCACTCGGAGTTAAATTCCATCATCTAATGTGATCAAAGATCATCATGGTGGGTAAAGTACACCCCAGCCATATTTTTCTAACAAAAATATGGACTTTAGCATAATGCTAGCTGGCTGTGCACCTCAGTAGTTGTGCTGAGGGAATATAGGAAGCAATCTTTGTGTACACTCATTTGGTATGAATGGCAAAGTGTGAGTACCCGTGTCAAAATGAAAATGCGTGAGGTTTAACCACATTATGGACAAAATGCCAACAGTGTGAATCTGTTGAAAATTGTTTTTAATAGACAATATGCAACAAGATGTTTTGAAATACACTAATAATGAAATACAAGTAAAACATATGCATCAATAGTAATAAAAATTTATTTATTATAATATCACTATCTAAACTAAAAGCCTTCATAGCAGGACATTATCATTCTAATTGTGTGAATTGAAAGGATTTATGGAGAAGTGTCAAATGTGGCATTGAGACATTTAGGATAATAATGACAAAAAATTGGTTTCTTTCAAAATTGCCTATGTTTTGATGATAAAAAGAGCTACTAGGAATGAAAAGAAAAAATTTGACAATTGACTGCTATTTATTCACTTTCTGAAAGCTTTGTTCTAAACTCAAGTAATTTTTTTTTTTTTTTTTTTTGAGACAGGGTCTTTCTATGCAGTTCAGGCTGGCCTTGAGTTCGCTTTGCAGCCAAGGCTGGTCTCAAACTCGCAACGATCCTCCTACCTCAGCCTCCCAAGTACTGGGATTATAGGCATGAGCCACCAGACCCGGCTCAAACTCAAGTGATTTGTACACCATCTGAATACATGACAGTTTACAAACAACTTGCATCATTTTATTGATGAAGGTTGTTGAAAATTTCTTGTGAAATAAAAGGGAGCTTCCTAAAAAAAAGTTGCAAGTTCACAACAGAGAAATATGTAGTATAATCTTTGATTTCAGAAAGACATCGGCCTCTTACATGTTGAAGAAAAACAAAGTAGTATGGATACTGTCAGTGTTACATCATGTTGGGAAGACTGACACTAAAGCTGAAAAGGTGTGCACACCTGTAATCCCAGCATTTGGGAGGCTGGGGCTGGAGGAGCCTGTGAGTTCAAGGTCAGCCTCTGCTACATAGTGAGTTCAAATCTAACCTGAACTGTGTAGCAAGACTATGTCCCACAAAATCAAAGAACAACAGAAAAGGATTGATCATGAATCTTC